CATCACTATCGTCACTGTTATCACTGTCATCTCTACCATCACTGTCATCACTATCGTCACTGTCATCACTATCGTCACTGTTATCACTGTCATCTCTACCATCACTGTCATCACTATCGTCACTACCATTACTACCATCACTATCGTCACTGTTATCACTGTCATCACTATCGTCACTACCATCACTATCGTCACTGTTATCACTGTCATCTCTACCATCACTGTCATCACTATCGTCACTGTTATCACTGTCATTACTATCGTCACTACCATTAATACCATCACTATCGTCACTGTTATCACTGTCATCACTATCGTCACTACCATCACTATCGTCACTGTTATCACTATCGTCACTGTTATCACTGCCATCACTATTGTCACTGTTATCACTGTCATCACTATCACTACCATCACTATCCTCACTGTCATCACTATCGTGATTAGATGGCGAAAGATGGTGCCGACGCTGATGGCTGCCTCCGTGGCGTGCTCCGCGGACATTGTTGTCGGGGGAGCTGCTGCGCTGATCAAGTGCTTCAGGACGCGCAGACGGGGGAAGAGAGCCGGCGTGCTCGTGAAGCTCGGACAGCGCGGATTCAGAATGCCGTTGCCTAGCATCCATCTGGCAAATCTCCGCTCTCTACCCAACAAAACGGACGAACTTCTTCTGCTCTCCCGGACAAATAAGGATTTTTCAAACTCTGCTGCTCTGTGTTTCACGGAAACCTGGCTGAAAGACGCCATTCCGGACAGCGCGTTGAGTCTGCCGGGCTTTCAGCTGTTCAGAGCGGATTGCGGCGCAGAATCAACAGGGAAATAGCGCGGCGGCGGGACATGCTTTTACATCAATGAGAGGTGGTGTACAGATGTAACTGTGTTAAAGAAGATGTGCTGTTCAGATCTAGAAGTGCTCTTCATTAATTGCAAGCCGTTCTATTTGCCGCGGGAGTTTGCTCGTTTATTCTCGTTAAGTGTGTACATTCCTCCGCAAGCACACGTGAGC